TATTTAGGAACTCCGTACTTCCTGATCAATTTTTCTGTAAACCTAAAACTGCCCCAAGAATATTGTCTAATTTCTTAAAAATTAAAAAAAATTAGGCTACTCTTTAGTACTATTTTTCCTTTGGTTTTATAGTCTGAGTTTATTTCTTCTTATTCACATTTTACCTTTGTCACCTTGACAAATCCTGGCAAAACTTATGGCCTTCCCTACCTCATACCTTATAAATATCAATTCTAATTAGATTGGTGATATCAATGTGAAATGAAAAACCAACAAACTTCTAAAAGATAAAATTGGAGAGTATCTTTATGACCTCGGGTTAGGCAAATATTTCCTAAACAGGACATAAAACCATTAACTGCAAAGAAAACGATTCATAAATTCAACTATATTAAAATTATTAACTTCTCCTAGACACTGTTAAGAGACTGAAAAAGGAAGAATCAGTGAGAAAATATATTTGAGATTGTGTGTATGTCTGACAAAAGACTCATTGCAGAATATATAACAGCTTTTACAAGTCAATAAGAAAAAAACAGATAAGCCAATTTAAAAATAAGCAAAAAACTTATCAGCACTTCATTAAAAAGTTATCCAAATGGCCAATAAATGAATGAAAAGTGATTAATTTTGTTAGTCATCAGAGAAATGCACAATAAGACCACATGAAGCAAAACAAAATGACAACCTATGGAATGGGAGAAAATATTTGCAAAAGATGAAACTGACAAGGCCTTGATTTCCAGCATATATATACAGCTCATACAACTTAGTAAGAAAAAAGCAAAAAGACCAATCCAAAAATGGGCAGAAGACCTAAACAAGCAATTCTCCAATGAAGACGTAAGAATGACCAATAGGCACATGAAAAAATGCTCAGTATTACTAATTATCAGAGAAATGCAACTCAAAACTACAATGAGGTATCACCTCACACCAGTCAGAATGGCCATTATTCAAAAGTCCACAAATGATAAATGCTGGAGAGGGTGTGGAGAAAAGGGAACCCCTCCCGTACTGCTGGTGGGAATGCAGTTTTTGTGGAAAACAGTATGGCGATTCCTCAAAAGACTAAAAATATACTTACCATATGACCTAGCAGTCCCACTCTAGAGCATATATCCAGAGGGAACCCTAATTCAGAAGGATACATGCATCCCAATGTTCACAGCAGCACTATTTACAATAGCCAAGACATGGAAACAACCTAAATGTCCCTCAACAGATGACTAGATAAAGAAATTGTGGTGTATTTATATAATGGAATACTACTCAGCCATAAAAATGATAAAATAATGCCATTTACAGCAACATAGATGTCCCTGGAGAATGTCATTCTAAGTGAAGTAAGCCAGAAAGAGAAAAATACCATATTATATCACTCATATGTGGAATCTTAAAAAAAAAGACAAATAAGCTCTACAAAGATGTAGAGCAACTAGAATATACTGTTTATGTAAGATTCAAAGACCAGCAAATACTAATGAACGGTTAGTAAAATAATTACCTTTGCTGTGGCATGGCAGAGGCAGGAGTAAGTGGGAATGGGAGGAGGGGCTAAGGATGAGGATAAAACTGGGAAGGGGTATGGGGCTTTCAGGATGAAGGTAAGGTTCTAGTTCTTCTGAGTGGTGATTATGCATATGTTTTAACTTTGTGACAAGTCATTGATTGGGACACTAATGCTTGTGCCTTGTGAATATGTGTGTTATACTTTAAAATTGTACCTACTTACATGCACAGCTAATTACAACTAAAAGTATGTCTTTGATATGTACTGACAATTACTGCTACAATAATTGGTCAACAGGACAGTAATCATAACCAAATTGACCCACAATATAAAATTTTATTTCAGTAATTTGGCATTAGAGTATGAGACATACTAATGCAGTGGGAGCTGTGGAAATAATTTTGATGGAGGTACATTTTGAGAATAAAATCATCATCCATGTTACTAGGGTGATGGGTAGAATTTAGTTCTATTCCTAAGAGTAATATCTCTCAGGTGCTCCTTCTGATGTGCCACCTCACACTAGCAGGTCACTAACACGTGGACACTGAGCAGTGCTAGTAGCTTAACTGCCCTCTTCCTACTTTTTTTAGGTGTCTGCAATAAGGTCTAGCAGGAGGGACCTATAGGTAGCTTTCCCTGGCCTTGTCAAAAAACTGCTCTTGATATAAAGGGAAGAAAAGTGGCCTATAACATTAAACAATTGAGATCATAGCTTCCAGGTAATGTTTTCCTCACATAATTTCAGTCGTTCTCGTAATACAGCACAAATAAAGAGGTAATGTCCTTTAAAAATAAAAAAGATGACATATAATTAACTATTTCAATGCTTCTTTTTCAAGTATTTGGTTTCATGATTATTTGGTCTCAAATTAAGTTAAGTCCCTTATAGAATAAATTTCAATATAGCTAATGTGGGGACAACATGGTGAAGGAAAAAAAGCAATGCACAAGGAATTACATAATGTCTTCTATTCTTAGTGCTTCCACTAACCATCTTTGTGACTTTAGGCAGATCTGGAGCTCCAGACTGGATGACTTGTAAGCTCCTTTTCTGATGTGGAAATAACATGATTCCATATGCAGTTTTGTAACGTGAACTTGAATATAAATGCAATCCTGTCCTTACCATAGTATTTTACTTAAAGTTGTAGATAGATGGTATAACAAATCTACTACAGAACTATTTTTTCATTCTCAAAATAAAAATTATGTAGGCTTTCCTCCTATCTTCATCTCTACCTCTGACTTCCTGATCACTTTCAAATGCCTTGTTCCTTTATCAACAATAATCATGTCAGCAAATATCTACTGAGCATTTCCTATGACGCAGGCATTGTTCTATGTTTCACACATGTGATCTTCGTAAATCCTTATAACAACCCTGTTATAATTTCCCCCATTTTGGAAATGAAGAAACTGAAGCACAAAAAGGTTAAATGATTTGCCCAATAATATGATAATATACTATGATCCCCATAGTTAAGATAGGAAAACTGAGGCATATGAAGTTTATGTAACTTTCTCAAGGATGGATAACTGCTAAGGAGCAGGGTCAAGACATGAATAGTGGTGTGCTTCTTCCTTTATTCTCTTCTCTTTCTTTCCCCCCTATTCTATTTTTTCCTCCCTTTTCTCTTTGCCATTCCTTTCTTATTTACCCATTTTCTAATCTTTTTGCATTAAATACATAGAATAATGCATTTAATTTATCTCTAATATATTAGACAATTCAGGGCATAAGTGTAAATTAAGATTGAAGACTAAATTAGAAGATATAGTATTTAATTTCAAGACCTAAAGCCTCAGAGATATCATTGCTTTAAAAAAGTAATTATTTTGTCTGAGTAAAATAATAACTGAATATTTTCATGTGTTGGGTCATTGTAAGTCAAATGTATTTAGTAGATAAATACATACAAACATATACATACATATAGAAACCTTAGAAATTACTGAAGATAGTGAAGCACACTCTCATAATTTTATCATTTTAATTCATTTTATTCTTCTAGGAAAATCTTATACTGTTTTCTCCCTAAAAAACTCTTCTTTTGAAAAGAAGCTTTAAGTAGTATTTTAAGTTTTGCTTGCATCAACATGATTATTATAATTTCAATCTAAAATTTTAATCTTGTTTCTTTAATTGAATATATTTTCAGGATTTGTAGGATTTATTTTTAAATATCTTATAACATCACCTACAGTAGTAAGGTTGTTAGATTTTTTGCATACATTGTTTACTTCTTATTGGTCTCTGTGGGGTTAATCTGTCACCATTAACAGCTGCATTTTCTCTGTTCTATGTTGAATGCTCCAGGGTTTTCGAATAAGACCAGTTCTTCCAAGGACTAACAGAACAACACCATAATTTTGTTTTGGGGTTGTCTCTAATATACATATTACATAAAACCTTTAAAATATCCATAAATTTATAGATATTCACTATGAATATCTGACAAATTTTGTCAGATTTCTTAGTAAAACTAACCTTAAGATGATACATTTTAAGTGTCTTTTTTTCCCCTAAGAAGTAATTTATTTTATTTCATTATGAAAGGATTAAGTTTCAAATACTATTACTAACAATACCCTTTTCAATATAAACTTTTTTAATGATTAAAACAAATTTTGAAAACATAAAATTAATAGACAAAAATTCAGTTTTCCTAGTAGTCTAAATACACTGTCTGTTAGACAGTTAAGTTGTAGAGTATATTTGGTATATGTATAGCACTTATCACAAGGGATTGACAAATTCTGGTTCACAAACAATTTTAGGTTAGGAATGACACAAATTTGACAAGTGTTTTTGTAAGAATTGGTTAAAGCATTGAAGCACTGTTTTAAAATATTAAAGTAAATTTTTACTTGTTTTTTGTTGGATGACTTCAAACAAGTAACTACTAATCCTTAATTCTACACCAAAAATAACTGTAAAATAGTGTGAATTCTGTTACATTTTTCTTATTGGTGCCTTTTGTTTTCTAGGTAATACTGTCACCATGTATCAAGAATATCAAAAGCATGCTCTGTATTTTATAAACATTATTCGGCTAAATCCTCAAAACAATGCTCTGAAGTAGCCTTTCTGTTCTCATTTTACAGATGAGGAAACTGAGGTTTAGAGAGTTTAATTAACATGACTAAGCAGAAACAGGTAGAAAGAGGGAAAGCCAAGAGATGAGCAAAGCTCTGTCTCACCACACAGCCCATGTTTTTGTCTAGCTCCTTCAACACTAGGGCCAATTTCAGTCAAGTGGTTTTTAAAGTGAAGGGGGAATGTTTCATTTTGGAAGAAGAGAAGAAAATGCATCTTTTTAATTAATCCCCCTCTGTCCTGCCAATTAAGACCTGAGCTCCCATCTTAAGTATTACACAACATTTTAATACAGTCCTTCTTGCTCTTATCTTTCTTAGTTATTCCAAAGGATGAAATATGTTGGTAAAATTCATTGAAGACAGTGATAGGATTAGACGCTTGAATTTGACAACCTGTATCTCCACCATACCACCAACTCGTGTTACATGGGAGATTATCTATATTACCCACAAGTGGAGGAGACCTTGTTCCATGGCATGAAGCACTCCATGAAACAATATTCTTGGTTGCCTAATGTAGTCAACCAACTCTTTAAATCATAGATCAGGGCAGACACAGTTGTAGAATATTTATAGACTAAATGCATGCTGTGTGCCAAACTGAAATTTACAACATGGGGAGAACTTCTAATAGAAGTACTCTTTTTGAAGGTATTAATTTGTGTTGAGTTTAAATGTAAACTAGAGAATCATTCTATACTAGACAGTATAATTAAAATTGCTCAAGATCAGCTTCAAAAAAACACTGCATCAGAGGTCTCTGAAATATCTCAGAACTGGAAAGGTCTTTTGAGTCACTTGTTTCCTGCTTTCATATTGCTGGTCTTGTTATTGGATATTGCAAAGTCTGCCACTGTTTCTGACCATTAATGACTTTAGAATGATGGCTACACAATTCACTCACACAAGACCAGCAGTGACACCTTCAAGAGAAATAATCTGAAACATATATTTGAGATGAAGCATAAATGTCATTACCACCATCTGCAAAGCCAGTTGCAGTGATAATAGGCACAGCCACCATAATTAGTCCACTGCTGCTCCAAACATACTTCATCAAGAACTGCTCTAACATGATGTACCACAAACGTTTGGATAAAATGAGGTTCATCTGATCTGCTAAAGCTTTGTAACTTTTTTGGAGTTGCTTCATTTCTACCTATAGAGGGAAAAAGAGATAAGAATTAATCTAGCATGAGCTATAAAAATAAATAATGCATGTTTGAGGACTTTCTTTAAAGATGATTACGTATTATTTTGTTTTAACTGAGTATACTATTATCTATAATTCTAACAACCAATAAATACAGATTAATGTCAGAATTACTCATTATTTAGTTTTAATCACAACTGCATTATTTTTTAAACATCTGATATTCAGTAAATGTAATGTTAAATATAAATATATGTGATTTACAATTATGTTTTCAAACTTATAAGATGTTAAAATTAAATGATTTTCTGTGAGATATAGTGTTAGAACCTTATCCTTCTTGACCACATCAAAATATCTGAAAATAAACATATGACATGTATATGTGTAATTAGACTCCTCAATTTTGAACTAATTTAATTTACTAGATTTTGTCTTAAATGCAAGAAGGCTACAACAGGCTATAATTCACATCACTGAGTTCAATGATTCAAGAAGAATGACAAATAAATATGATTAATGCAACATGTGAAGCCAATTTTCAAGGGGAAATAAAAGTCCTAAATTTGCTTTAAATTTGCTTCTTCAGATTGGTACTACTATAACATTTTTTTATAATAGATGATGTTTCAAAAATTAAATATTCTGCTTGATAATTAAGATACCATTTTCAACTTCAGAATACCTTATTATTTCATTTGCCAAGTCATTTGTATTAAGATTTCAGATCCATCACCTTAAAAATTTCTGTCATATTTAATATTCTTTAATGTACTGCAAATTTATGTAATTAGGCTATTTTAGGGAACTGCTTAATATTGAAAATCTTTAATATTTAAAGATAACATTCTGGAATTCCTCGTTTTCCTTCCTCATTTCTTCTCTAATCTTAGCTTTTCCTTCAAAGCTAGACAAAAATCTCATTTTACTGTTGTCTTTCTTTACTTGTGTCAAAATATGGTGCTAAGCATTAAGACTAACGGATATACCATTTGTAAAACAAACTCTCCTGCATTTCTTAGGACTGAGGAACTCCCATCATGGACCAGACATGAAAAACTGTCAAACTTGCTTTTCATATGAAAAGCATGGTTTTTTTTTTTAATTTTCCTCTTGAAAAACAAAGATTACCACCCTAAATTTTGCATCTCAATGGAAATATGTTTACTAGTTTCTAAACATACATTATTTCCAATGTTCTAGAACCATCTACTAAGTTAGGATTTAAGTTTTTAAGAAAAGCATTCAGAGGTAATTCTGAGCATATCTGGGTAGCTGAGGCTAAGTAGCATTTTTTAGAGTGCTGAACATTTCATTCTCGTGAAACTTTAGAAAAGTTTGCACTTTATGTATAATTCTTTAACAGCTTGTGATTAAAAAGAGTAATGAAGCATATATTTTAACACAGGTTGAAACGTCCTAAGAATCTAAAACGCTGAAGAAGCGGGTCTATCAGCAGTACAACAGATGACATCTAGCACTGCAGGGGCAGCTTGAACAGTCTCACATTTCACCCATCACCTTAATTTCTTTCTTACCTTATGTCCTCTGTAAAAGGCAATTTCTTCAACATTGGCTATAATTCTGGAGTGCACATACCGCAAATAGCCTTTTCTATGAGCTTCTTCAGCCACCAATTTACCAAACTTGGGAGAACAGGCCTTCAACACTTTAGCAGTGGCATATACCACAAGCCCGGCTAATAAGGTGGGCCCAGTGGGGCTTGCTCCTCTGGACGTAGCAGTCTGGATGAGCGTATAGGAGGTCAGGATTACATCTAAAATAGGCTTGGTTAGGTTGGAATACAAGTGAGCCACGGACTGAGAGAACATCATAATATCCTCAGTAAGAGACTGGTCGGGGTTTGCCAGCCTCCCGTCCATATTGATCACCTTATAATAAGTCTGATTTGTAAAATAGGTTTCATAGGCGTGGTCTACTAGGCGAGTTCTGAAGGCCAAGGCCAGTTTGCCCTCCAGGTACCTTATTGCACTGTTGACAAAGGTGGCAGGGATGGCAATCATAAGCCACTTGATTAATTTGATGATGAAAGTCCGAGGCTTCTTTTCCACAATGCTTTTCACGATTTTTCCATCGAGACCAGCTACATAGATAGACAGAAAGGTTCTTGAGATTAGAGCTACCGAGTGGAGGCATAGCCATCCTGTTTCAGTGGTCACAAGTTTTGGAAAGAGAATTTTCCGAAGTTCTAGCAGCTGTTTGAAAAAATCTGCATCCACTCCAGGCGAAGGTTTTTTACAAGTGGCCTCGGTGCAATGCAGTATTTCTCTGTTCTCTGCAGCCGGGTAAGCTTCTTTTTTCTTCCCATGGCCAGACTGTTTTAAACGCTTGCCAATGGTGGGATAGAGGGTTTTCAGAGCATATGCTGCGGCCACCAGGCAGACAGCCCTTTTAGCAGCCCTCGATCTGGTCCATTTCACTCGATCAGCTGCTGCATTTAGCATATGTATCATTTTCCCAGTTACCCAAACCGGCTTCAAAAAGAATCGGTTTTAAAAGAACATGCTTCACGGGAATCCCCAGCAAGTGTTTCAGAAAGTTCTACAGCGTTTCATAATCTGCAGCGTTTCTCCTCTTCTGTTTTTGTTTTGTTTTGTTTTGTATTGTATTTTTTTTTTTTTAAATTTTGTTTTGCTGTGACAGCCGTGGAGAGCTCGGTCTCCACTGCATCTACTGGGGATGATTCCCTCAGAAGCTCAGGCTGCACCAAGCAGCCCCAGGCTCCTCCCTCTCAGGCCCCTCATTGGCTGTGAGGGCGATGGGACCCTTGGAATCCTCGCTGCTTTCCTCTGAACCTTGAAAATGAGGAGAGAGCAAAACGAATTACATCCTTAAACAGTTCAGAGAGTTAAATGTCTATTTTTGGAGAGGTCGTATCAGGGCTGGCGACAAAACCTGCCCTAGCGACTGAGCATGCTCAGCGTCACTCGCAAACCACAGAAGTTTCAGAAAATACGTCACTTTTCTAAGGTTTTAGTAAATACCACAGGGGAAGAGGGAAGAGCAAAATGAAAGGGAAAGTTCCAAGAGCTTTAAAATGAGATGAGGGAGACGGAACTGGGGAGATGAGGGAGGAGGAACGAGAGGATCAACATAAAATAAATATGAAAAGGGTCGGAACGAATCTGAAAGGGAGTGAGAAGAAAGTGACAAGTTGGGGTAGGGGGTGGGGGGCCCGGATAAAACAAAATATCAAACTCTTGAATCTATTTTACAGTACTCCCTCCTCTCGTATTTTAATTTTTTCCCCTTCTGTCTGTGATTTCACGTGAAGTTCCAGAACCTATCAGACAAGTTGTATTGAGGGTATCTTTTTGTAAATAAGTAGGAGAGAATTCTTCTGTATAACTGAAAATAATTCTTTGCTATGCCTCCATTCCAATGTTTACTTGTTTTTATAATGAAAATCTTGCAGCCTCATAAATGCTATTTTTAGCAATGGAAATCTGATGCACTGGTGATTTATTTACAAGGTGACTATTAAATAAATGAGAGCAGTGTTTCACTTATACCTGCTTGTGTCTTTTAGATAGTCATTACTTGGAGGTCTGTGACTTTAAAATCAAAAGTTAACCATTTGGGAGTCAAACTGGCGTTAAACTGCAGTAATAGCTTCTCCAGGCTCTTACTTGATTTTGCGAGAGTTCCTTGCCTTTTGCAAGCTTTTGTTTTGTTTGTTTTGTTTCAGGTTTAGAGATAATCTACTACTTCCCATTTCCATTTCGGTTATTTGATAAAAATCAAAAGCTTTAAAAAAAATTCTCTACATCCCTAATGGACTTAAGCAAAATTTTGCATGTTTTAAAAAATGTAAAGGGCATGTTTTTAGGCAAGGATGAGTTATTCTCAAATATACAAAACGTTTCTCCACCCCCATTCCCCTCACACAACATACACACACTTCTAGTCAACTGGGAGCCAGGGAAAACACGCATTAAACTAGGACAGAGGTTGGCACATTACAGCCAAACCAATGGGCCACATCTGTCCCACCATCTATTTTTATATAGTCCTTTAAATGTAAGAATAGCTTTACATTTTAAAAATGGCTGAAAATACATCAAAAGAATAATGTTTTGCAACATGTGAAAATTATATGAAGTTTTAATTTCAGCATTTATAAATAAAGTTTTATTTGAACATAGTCACACCTATTTATTTACTTACTGTCTATGGCTTTTAAACCACAATGGCAGAATTGGGTAGATGAAATAGAGCCTAAAATATTTAATATCTGGCCCTCTACAGAAGCTTGCCAAACCCTGTGCTGGAATGTAAAACCTGTCTCAGTATTGAATGCTCTTCATTATTCAGTTTACTGTGAATAAAGGACTACCCTCACTTTTATAAGTAACCATATTCTTAAACTTTTAAAATTCCTCCATTCCCAGGTACCTATATGAATACCAAGAATCATTTGTTTGCATTCAACTCAGTAGATTTACTAATACATGAATGGCAACTTCATGCGAGACTCTTTGATAGCTGGCCATGTTAGTAGCACAATCTGTCATTCCATTAAGACTTTCTAAGTCTGTTCACAGAGATCATGGTGTCATAGGGGTTATTTTCAAATGTTTTCATTCCAAATCTCATTGCTTCTTATGTGTCAAAATAAGGCTGCCTTACATTGATAAATGTTAATTCTTTATGTCACAGCTCTTGATTTCGATAGGACATGTGGAGAGCCAGGGTAAACTTAACTGGGTGTGATGGGAGGACGTTCAGCATGCAAAACGTGGTGCACAAATTCATGGGTCAGAAAGCAGCTGGCAGTTGAAGCAAGTGGCTTGCATCACTGGCACAGGACAAAAAGATCAAGGGAGGAGCAGGGCAGTGGGAAATCTAGAAGCAAAGGATGTTAGAGACCTAAATACACACTCAGTTGTAGGTAGGTCAGTTTACCAACTAATAATGAAGCTGGGGTACAGGAAAAAGCTTTTAATGCCTGGAATGAAAGACTTGTTAGAATGAGGAACTGGGTTTAAAGAAAATAATCAAGATAGAAGTTTGGTTACACAGAAATGTTGTTCAAGGAAGGGTGAAGTCTAGTTACTAGAACTGGGGAAAAGGTCAATACAAGATTTGATTTGCTGTTGAGCTACTAAAGCACAGACCTAACAATAACCACTTATATTTCACTCCCATATTTCACTCAAGATAGGTCCAAGCATCTGAGCCTAGGCTCAAGCCTTCAGGAAAGGCAGAGGACGAATTCTCTGAGATGACAGAAAACCAGATAGATAATTCTAGTTAGAAATAAATGCCATTTAAATAAGAAACTAAGAAATATCAAGATACTTGTTTCTTTTTTTTTTATGAGCATGATGCAATTAAAGCAAAGAGAATGTTAACTTAGTTTGAATTTCAAACTACAGAAAAATAAGGTAGAAGAAAAATCACTGCTTACTATAGTAAACATAATCCAAGTTGCTCAACTTTACATTCATTTATATGGGAAAGTATTAAAATTTTCTTAAGAGAGGAGAACTAATTTTAGAAAAAAGATACTAAAAAATAAAAATTAAAAATTAGCAATCATTATTACATTACTCTGTTCTCATGTGTGATACTCTCAATGTCCATATCAGAGTAGACACTGCCTATGTCCATGGAAGAGCAGAATTAAATAAATTTTACATATATTATAAAGAATATACATATATTAGAAAAACTATGTGTTTTATAAACTGTAAAACATCAGAAGTAATTTTTTACAATAAAGAGATCTAAATATACCAGTATATTAGTTAAAACAATGTATATAATGTAGATAATATATGTGCTGTGTGTTTAGATAGTAAATCAAGAAAGTAAATAATTTTGGTAATAGACAGAAATTAAAGTTTATAATTTTGGATGGATTTCCTTTTCACCAAATTTTAAGTAATAGTTTATCTGTGCTGTATTTCTTTCTTGAAGTGTTTCCTGACCCAAGAGATTACCTAATTACCCTTTGGCCCTAAAATAGCACAATATTTGCCCCATTATCTATGGTCACGCTAGCCTTATTCATGTGAGGCATAACATAACACTGAAGATGAGATCGTAGGTCAACCTTTCATTTGTTACAAATTACCTAATAAGTGGTCTAATTCAAACCAATGATAGATGTACTTTACTGAATTTTTGTTTTAAAAATCAGTATTTATGTGATTAAACAAGATGTCTACTCTGGGACATAATCCTATTTTAGGTACTATTTCCTAACGATTTAACAGAAAATGTATTATATTTGAAAATATGAGATATTCCCCAGGTTAAAATCTAGAAAATAATCATGACAATTGGGGGGTGGGGTGGGTGGGGAGTACTTTGTGTATTTGTTTGGGACAAGAGATTCGTAGTTTCTAGCCAAAAATATCATAGAACAGTTTGTAAGATAAATGTCTTGTGAGGCTATACCAACGTAACACAGAAATGAACAGCAAAATCCAGTTTTTGTTTTGACATTTTTTTCAGTAAGGAGTTTAAAGTCTTTGGACCTTTACAGCTAAATAAGTTTTGCTCAGACTCTCTCAGAAACTCACAAAATGTACAGAATAGTCAATTACTATGGTGAAATGTTTCTATCAAACAACTGTTTACTCAATTTTAAAACTACACGTGAAAGATACTTTAAGGATCTGAATACAGAGCAGTAAGTGAGAATGGAAATACAGCTTTAGGGTTATGGATTTATAACTGCCCTTGCCTTCTTTTTCTCCACCAAGTCTGGTCTCTGACCTGAAAAAGGAGGCTGAGGCCAACACAGAACTAAATAAAATTATGGTGTGGGTGGTTTGAAACGCTAACCCAGTGGCCCTAGTCCGATAGTTCATTTACTTAGGTGTACCTTGCCTGAGTAGTTAAAACTGCCGTGTTCTTCCTCCTTGAGGCGCGCTAATCACCTTCCCGCTTCCTTTGCAGTCCTATCAGGACGGATACTCCACAGAAACCGCAGAGGCTGCCGGGAGGCCGGGAGCAGCCAGCCCAGGACGCAGAGGCTGCCGGGAGGCCGGGAGGAGCCAGCCCAGGACGCTGAGGCTGTCGGGTGTTTGGCAGGAGGCCCAGAGCCGGAGAGGAGCCAGCTAAGGCTTGAGAGCCTGTAGCTCCGCACCAGGCGGAGACGCCTGAGCACTAGCTGTCCGACGACGGTGTTTCGCTTCGAAGTTTTGGGGAGATGAATTGGGTCGGTGGTTCCCGGTGAGTTGTGCCGTTGGATCTTGAGACTGTATGTAACCGTTCATTCCAAAATGGCGCCTCCTTCCTAGACCCTCGAGGCGGGTGCACGGTCTCAGCTGGAAAGAACTTGCCCCGAGTGGGTCTTTTAATCGTTATCGAATCTGGGATACCCTAGCACGATGTCTCTATGCCTAAACCAAAAGCAACTCAGCTTCTCCCCAAAGCTTCACGCGAGGGGTCCGCTCTGGGTCAGGTTCTCTGCTCACCAGATGTCCCACGTCTTTCTGTAATGAGGCATCTGAGCACCTGAGGCCTCTGAGCACCTGTGCCCTCTTCTGCCTTCTTCCTGCTCAGCCCCCCTTTCTTAGGAGGAGTTTCTTTTGGGTCCATATATAATCTTTGCATGAATTCTCAAAGCATTTTGAAAGAGGCCAATCCCCGCCCTTAAATCCGTTGATTGGGGATGGGGGAGTATGAACGATAAAAATCCAATATAGTTTGTTTTAACGGGAAGTCAAATAAACAGTTTTTATTTTAACAACTTACAGAGAATTTACAATATATTCTGTATTTAGGAGTAATCACATAAAACATAATAGGTTGACAGTTTAGATTTATATGATCTATTCATTGCTATTGACCTTGAAGTCCACTAGGATGGAAATCGTGTAGGCCTATATTTACATTTGATCAAATTCCATGATGAAAAGAATTGTTCTGATTGAAACTTTGATTACAGTTTTTGTACATTAAATGCAATTTTTGTCATAAGTAGACCTAGAAGAGTGGTATATGTTTAAAATATAACTTCAAAATTCTAAGGAATTTTCTAAGAGGAAAGACAGGTTTTGTGTTCACCAAATGTTGTAACTGTGCTCATTAACTTCAGGAGCATTTATCTTGTTGAAGAATATATTAGCATCGTATTTCAGAGTTTATCTGAATTATTCCTGGCTAGTATTTTAGCATCATACTTATACTTCGGAGAAAAGTGAAAATTCACTTACAGGCGTCACAGGATTTAGTTGATGTATGGTTATAATATTCTTTAAAATGTGAATATTAAATGAGATATGAAATCATTTTACAAATGCTTAAGCATTTAATGTATTGTATTTTAAGCATGAAAATGTAGGTGCTATTATTATTCTGTCATATGCCTCAAACTTCTGGTTATTCAGAGAGTAATATTTTAGTTGCTATTGGGAGGATGTAAAACCAATATACTGCAGGAAACATGTAGTCGAGGATTATGCTTCTCAAAGTGAAGTAGTGCTGTACCGGGAGGTATTAGGTACCGGGGGTTTAAGAAACCTCAAAGAAACGTAACACATCTTGGAGCATCAGTTTTCCTCAGAGATCAGAGGAAAACATAATTTTAAATTTAAACAAACACGGATACATTATAGAGTAAAATGCAAAACTCTTGTGAAGTTTTAAGATAAAGTATGCAATTTTAAATAAATTTTCTTACACTGGGTGGGGGATGGGAGGGTAGGTGAGATGGAACTCCTTAAGTGTCAAACCCCAGATTGGTATGAAAAACTGAGTATCTCACTTTCTAGTATTACAGTTGAAAAGATTAGTTGATCATGGTATCTGATCATGAGACCCTAAAGGGCCTCATCCAAGACAGTGCTAGGTAATCACTGGCAACTGATTGGAGCTACTATAAAATAGAAATTTTAAACCTTGTCCCAGGGTGTTCTGGAGTACTTGTTTATTCCCCTCTGATATTATATTAGGATTGTTTTGTGGTTGAAAATTTTGGGAACTGTGAAGAACTTAAAATATAGAGAAGTGAAGTACTTTGAAAACATTTACAGAGTTCCCTCGAAACAACTGCTCCCTCAGAAGAGTCAGTGTTAAGTATTCAACAAATAGTTTTTTTCATGCCTACCTGTTTAGGACATTGTTAAGCTGTATGGGGACATTCAGAAATGAAAAAGATACAATTTTGGCTCCCCACCCACCCAAAAATATATGGTAGAATAGTAAGATTAGAATTAGGTAAATGATTATAATATTAGATAGTTAAATACACTTAATATGTAGCAACCACTGTTCTATGTGCTTTTTTGTATATTAGCTCATTTACTCTTAACTAGAATCCTTTGAGGTATGTACAAATGTTTTCCCCATTTTACTGGTGGGGAAACCATTAACGTTAAGTGACTTGCTCAAGGTCGCCTCGCTAATCAGTGGCACAGTGTGCTTAACCACAATCTTGTGCTAAATAGAAATACGAGGATTGTGAAAGTGGCCTGCGGGTAAATAAAGGACTGTGGATATTTAGAGAACCGAGAAAAAGGGAATTATGTTAAGCCTTGAAAGATAGCAGTACTCCACAGAACAAACACCACAGAGGAGCAATGAAATAAAAGTTCTTAAATACTGAAAAGAAATAAGTAATTAATCAAATTGGAGACCTAAATTTTAGCAAGGCTTCTTAGAAGGGATGGGTTGGGATGGGGAGGTATTAAAGAACTTGAAAGGGAGTGGCAAATAGTAGATGGGTCTGCATTTAGACAGGAAAACATACATTTTTGTCAAGGGAACGGATAAAGCAGGCTATAGCAAGTCTTAGCAAACTGACTGTATACCTTAACCTGAAGCAGAGTATTCTTGTATATTATAGGAATCTGATATATATTAAGTTTAATTGCAGAAACCTTTGATTGGAGCATCTTTACAACTGCAAAGGTCTTTACAGTTATTCCTGATGTAAAACAAGCTTGGCATTTGACTTTTTAACTGCTCTTCAGTTTAGGGACTCTGCCAGTTATCCATAAAATATTTGTGTGTGTGTGAGGGAAAGAGCTAGAGAAGAAGTAAGCTTCCCTTGTTTTCCATTTTAAATTACTTACTTGGTTTGTCTAGTGTTATGGTTTGTGGACATCTTTGCAAGATGTCATAACATTTCATTTCAAACAAAGTCTCCTTTAGGGTAAAGATATTTGATCTAAACTGAAACTAATTTACATATCTGTGATAGCAGTTCCCAATCTACTGTCCCTGAAACTTGCTAATCAGTGATAATGTCAAGTTTTTCAATTTACTGTTCTTTCCTTTTTTCCAAAGTTCTTCTTGGGTTTTTTGTTTTGTTTTGTTTTGTTTTTAAGTGCCCCTTCCCTTTTAAGTCCTTTTTTGACAAAATTAAAATATCATTAATTTGTTAGTCTTACCAATTAAAACTTTTTTTTATTCCTTGTCTGGGACGTAGAACATTGACCTAGAACTCTAATTTTTGTTTTGTATTTTTTACAAGTCACCACTGAGACCCTGTATTTTCCTAGTCAGGTTAATGTGTAAATTTGAGAGAGGACAGATAAAAACACTGATTTTTAAAATTTGGACAAGATTCTCTCTTTTATTTTTCCTGTTTATTGATCAGTGACTTGTTTCACCAAATTCATAGCCATCTCAGACAGGATGGTGGTATGAGAGGGGAGAGGAAGTAGAAAATAAAGATGTAACCAGTCTTTGGGCCACAATATGCTATTTAGAATGAGATTGACTTTTTACTGTTTAGATCGAAGAATGCAACCAGTGTCATAAGAAAGACAGATAAAATCTTGCTTCAATTTAGGTGAGGGAGAGGTTTGAATTTGTAAATGTAGGCCTAAAATGATCACCTGTGCAAACATATATTGAATACAGTGCATCACGTTCTGTGCCAGGTGAGGGTACAAAATAACTGAAATTTAGTCTTTTTTTGAGAGATCTGTAGTTTATTGGGGGAGGAGGGGTAGAATATGCCATTAAGTTTGAAAATGTTTAAGATCAGAGGCCAAAACATGTGATTTGAAAAACATATTATAAACAATAGTAGAACATAGGATAGTTTTAGATAGGGTTTGGTAAATTGGAAACAAGGATAAAAGAAAGTTCAAATGGAGGAAAACAAAGAAGAAAATAAACATTACATAAGTAATTGGAGATGACTTTTTATATTTAAAATTTTTACGTGCAAAGAAGAAAATAAACATTACATAAGTAATTGGAGATGACTTTTTATATTTAAAATTTTTACGTGTGTGTGTGTTGTGTGTGTCTCTCTGCCTGATGCTGAGATGGAAAGACAGAGAAGTTGGAATTTCAATCTGTTAGTTACTGAGAAGTCATTCAAATTCAGAAGTGATACAATGAAAATGGTATTTTATGACTGTTTGTGGTGTTAGTGGTCTGTATGTTGGAATATAGCAGGGGAAGACTCCAAGATAGTGATTAACAATTAGAATTCTGCTTGGTGGGGGGGAACCCTAATACTACTTTTTCATTTTCTGATATGACTGTATATTCTCCAAATTAAATCAACACCAGTGCTAACTCCTTTGTAGGTATTATGGGTTTTATGAATTTGCATTAATTATTAAACCTCTCTGTACAGGGGCAGATCCAAGCTGTGAGAAGCCCTCTTTTGGAAAAAGAATACAAAATTATGACTACAGAATTATGTACAGGGCTTGGAGTGGGCATGCTCAGGTGAAGGGCCCTGAAGCTTAAGCTTTACAATAAATTCTCTTTCCAGTAAATTGACTTTGGTCTCTATGCATCTCTTTCTTCTTCTGTTAAATGGGGATAATGCTTAGATGTACAGTGAGCATCATCCCAGTTGCCTGGGGCAGTTGTGGTTTATGCTTGTGGTCTTAGTGGCATGCCCAGTTCAGCATTTGTCTTGGAGTTTTTGTTTTTTAACTAAATACAAACTACCATTAATAGTCCTGTTTAAATGAGCCCAGATAAATTCGATGAATATCCTTTTTTTTTTTTTTTTAAACCTCTGCCATGGTCTTTATTAGTGCGTGAGCCATGCATGCAGTGAAGAGAGTTCTCATTTTCACATGAGGTTAAATCTGAAGACATCCAGTGATAATCCAGGCCTGACACTTTCCAAATGGAAAGTAATTAACAACTCCTTTTAAAGACAGCATGAAGGGCACTTGCTGATAAAATAAAGCATACTGGGTCATGAGCAGCAAGGGACAACTAGCTTGCTGAGTGGGGTGAGAGAAGTACTTAATGCTGCCATCCCTGTGGCCACTTGCTGTACGAGCAAGCTGTACCATTGCATGCTTAGGTTGGAGAGGTTTGTATAGACACTATGGCTGGGGTTGGGGTCAACAGGAAACACGGAAAATTTTGGATTATGTGTTAAGTGAAATATTTACAAAGAATAGCTGCTAATCAGTCTTTTCA